CGCAGCCCATGGCCATCCATTCCCCTTCACTGTGGCTGCCCCCAGTCCACCACCCTTCCAGACCCAGGCCTGGAACCAAACTGACTTCTGTCTGGCCCTGACAGGTTCCTGGCTGAGCATGATGGTCTTGCCCATTTCCTTGATTATTCTCAACAAGAGGTTTATAGAGCCATTGGGAACATCACATCTGTCTACCAGGTTCTCACCAGAGACATGACTGCCTTGGGCCAGGCCTGGTACAGTCAGGGGTTACACTAGCCTGCTGGGACCCAGATTCAGTGACCTCAATCTAGCCAATGGGCTGATGGGTAGCTGTCACTACTCCTCTGCTTGGAGGAGGCAGGAGAGGAAGATCAGGAAGGAGATCTGCTTAGTGCCCAGCTTTACCTGTCTCACCTGGCTGCATGTGCATTGGAGGCTGAACCCCCCTTCTTGATCTCCTGCAGGTGTGGATTTCAGGTTTCCAATGGGTGTCAGGGTGAGCTCCAGTGCTCTCCTGGCCCTAGGGAACCGTGGGCTCCATGAGGCCTTGGCCTAGGCAGGATAGTTTCCCACACTGTAATCTCCCCGTACAGTCACCTCCCCAAACACTGGGCTGCATGCTCTGGTAGGTTTAAAAGTTTAAAAGCAAAAGCCGGCCCCTCCCCTCTCCCGGAGCGGGTGGCCCCTCCCCTCTCAGAGTGGGCGGGGACAGGAGTTGCAGGGGCAGCTTTTATTGGGATGCCACAGGTCTCTCTGGACTTGCTGCCTGGCCACGCCTCCTTTCCGTTTCATCTTTTTCATTGACCAATCGGATTGGAGCATGAAGGCCACGCCCCTATTCTAAATTCTAGTGGTGCCCTGGTTACGCCTCCTCTGGCTCAGTCAACACAGCTGCCTTGTAGGAGAGTGGAGCTGCTTACCAGTGCTCCCTTGAATTGTGCTGATGTGGCCCCAACCCGCCCTCCCTCCCCAACCCCACCAACCTCCCCCACCCACCATGGCGATGTCAGAAGAAATTCGCAAGATGAAATTAACCTCGGCTAGGAAAAAGGTAACGTACACAGATCCCCTCCGATGGCAAGACCGCTGCCAGAGTCCATAACACTTCTGAGACACACCAGACTGGGTGGGCCCCCAAACTTGGCGTCTCTGGGCTCCCCCTACCAACGTCTTGTCAGTCAGCCCCACCCCTTCAGCAATGAGCCCAGCCCCTACCCTTGCCAATCACCCCAGGGTGACTTTGGATGTGTAACTCCTGAGGCTCCCCACTCCCTACTTGGGCCTCACCTTTTACTTCCCCATGTCTGAACTCCCTGTGCCCTGTGGGCTCATGTCTCTAAGGACCTGGGTCTCCCAGCCCACACCTTCACCAGTCATTTCTGGGTGACTTTGGGCTGGTGACTCCTGGGGCTGCCTGCTGCAGACTCTGCCCTCCCCTTCTGCACCCCCAGTGCGACTTCCCTGTGCTCTTTGGGCTGGCGTCTCCAAGGACCTGGGTCCCAGCCCTTCATCCCCCTCCCCGATCATGGAGCAGTGACTCAGGCATCTCCTTGATGTGGTCCCCTCCCCCAGGAGGAGTGGAATGTAGTGATGTCACGGTCTCCCTAGGAACCATCAGTCCTGCTACAACACCGGCCTTCGATCTTAGGACTCAGTTCCCTAAGCATTCTCATCCCATTTCTGGCTCCTCTGGTCCTTGCACAAATTTCAAACTGGAAGGGGAATGGGGACTATGGGACCTAGGAGCAAGAGGTTTCAGGCTGCCCCACTCCCTTAACATAGACATTGACATTAACATAGACATTGAAAAGTGTAGACAAAGCCTACACTTCCTCCATGAGCTCAAAACATTGACAGTGTCTCTGGGTGGCAGTGGGGGAATGGGTTTGGTTTGGTTTTCTCTCAGGCTTCTACTCTCCAGAGAGACTTTCACGTTTCTTTCTGAGTTCTCCACCTCATCTTCAAATTCTCCATGGTTCTGGGACCATACTGCCCTTCAGTCAGTGGCCTCTGGAGTGAGATCTGCTCATCTTCTGTGGAACAGATCTTGGGAAACTGAAACTGACAGCTTGAATCTTCCTCATATCATCTCAACCTGGGCTACTTTGAATGCCACGGGATAAACATGGGACATCTTTCAGAAGCATCAGTTTCCCTTGAGTCTCTTGAGAGAGCAAAAACATTATTGTACTTATGGATGACAGTCACATTGGTTTCTAAGTGTATACCAGACTTCTCTCTGAAATGAGACTTGGGTTGTCCTCTTTCTGATGAATTCCCAGATTTGACAGAAAGGCTGCCTTCTGCCATGAGGACACACTGATATAAAAGTGTGAGAGGTGCTGGTGCTCTTCTTAACACTAACAGACGTGTGAGGCTGTATGACTCTAAACCACACGGCGTACAGTTCCTGTCTACTTCACGTTGGCTTTTCTACCTCTGCCTGTGGTTCTGGTCTCTGGCAGTTGCTGATTCATGGCAAAACCCCAGAGCTTGGAGTCAGAGGAGTTAGTTTAAGGTCTACTATTGCTTTTTCTTATTTTTCTTTTTTTCTTTTTGTTTTTGCTATGATATCAGTCTCTCTCGGTCACTTAGTGATTGTGACAACACCTTATAGAGTTGTTGGTGGCATTAAATCAGATGTTGTGTAACAGCATTTTGTAAAAACTGTAATGTAGGTTGTGACTGTAGGGGTTTGTAGTTCTCATGGGTATTACTGCTCTATTTCTCACAGTTAAAAGAATTTCAACAAAGAAACAGCCCTGCTGTTCCAACACGAGTGAGACGGAGAAACAAAAGAAACAACAATAGCCCTGAGACAGGCACTTCTGATGGTTGCCAGTCACCATGCCATGTGAGTCTTAGCCTGCCAGGGTTCTGGGGAAAAGGGGCCCAAGGGGCAGTAGAGGGGAATTGTTAAGGTTGTGGAAGAACTTCTGGGTACTGGTTAGGAATTCTGGGTTTGAATCCTGCCTCTCCATCTGCTAGGGATATGATTTAGGGCAATTCCTTGAGTTTTTGGGCCTCTCCTTTCTCATCTGTAAAATACAGGTGTATTGTCTGACTTCCATTTGTGAGGGTGCAATGAGATTCGTTATTGCTGTTGTGTTTTTGTTAATCCCTAGTACATGGCCTGCTGTAAACACCCAGGACACCCAGGAAAGGGTCCTTGCTGTTTGGTTTTCCTCATCGCCAGTCTCAAGGGGAAGCCAGCCCAATGAGAACAGCCATTTGCTGTCAGGCTGTCCCTTTAAGAGTCACTGAAAGGGCCCCAGGGTGGGATGGTGGGAGATAAGAACCATGAGAGGAGCTGGCACAGAGGAGTTATGGGACAAAGGGTCCGAGAGGCAGAACAGGAAGTGCTGCCAGCTGATGGGGAGGAAAGGAAGTCAGAGGCTTGGACACTAAGGGGACACAACATCTCCATGTGCACTCTCATCTCTTGTAGTCAGCAGCAGGTGGTCCCAAGGAGGGCCCTGCGCCATGTGCCACCATGAATGGTCCAGAGGTAAGAAGCCCTGAGCTGAGGTACAGTGACCCTGCAGGCCAGCCCTCCACCCTCCTCCCACAGTGGCGGCTGGGTGCCCCTCCACCAGCCGAGACAGCCCCCACTCACCCCAACCCTAATGATTGTTCTCTCTACCTCTCCCCCGATCCTCCCCCAACTCCTCCTCTCTGCATGTGCCTCAGAGCGCACACCAACTACAAATAGCCCTGGACTCGAGCTCCGTGACAACCAGTGAACTGAATAACACCATCGACTTATTGGTAAGAGTCCAGTGGGACCCCCTGATTCCACGCTGCCAATCCTGGGCTCCAGTTTCCCCTTGGGGCTGCTGTGAGTGAGTTGAAGGGTGTTATGGGGAGCCAGCACTAGACGCAGAGCTCAGAGGCCAAATTCCCTCCCTGGCCTTACTTGGCTGTGGCCTTGGCCAAGTCCTAGGTGGGGGACTGGGTACTTGGACTCTGAAGGTACAGAAGAGTAGCTTTAGTATGTCACCATTTGTGTAGAGAGAGGAAACGTGTGTGTGTGTGTGTCTGTGTGTGTGTGTGTGTGTGTGTGTACTGTGATAATATACATAAAACATGTCTGCAAGGATTTGTAAAAAACTCAGGAGAGAGCACAGGTGGCTGGGAGATACTTCCCTTCTGTACCTTCTCAGTTTTGGACTATAAGAATGTATCATTTTTTCAAAAAGTGAAGAAAAAATTCATTTCTCCCTTCCTCCCTGTGCTCCCACCCCCAGCAGGAAAAAAAATGGACTTAGAGGATCAGATGGGCCTGGTTGTTCAAATCCCAGCTCTGTCTAAGTGATCTTAGGCAACCACCTAACCTCTAATGCTCCATGTTTTCCATCTACTCAATAGAGGTAATGGTAGCAACTGCTTCACATGGTGGCTGTGAGGTTAAATGGGATTGTTACCACACTACCTGGTGACACACTCAATAAAGGTTCCAATAGTGTAGTAACAACAGGAATAACAATAGACTATGATCTGATCTCTCTGGGCCTCTGTTAGCCAGCAGTGTGACCTCTTTCCCTGTGCTTCCAACTTTACTGAGTTCTTTTAAAATCCAGACCACAGGATTGGAAATGCCTTGATCTTTACTGTCTGAGTTGTGTATGAAGCCCAGCCCTAGGCCTTTTAAGGGGCACTGTGTGGAATGGCCCAGGCTCTCCAGATTGAAGCTTCTCCCTCTCCACCCTCCAGCCCTCGAGCCGCTGTGGAGCAGTCCTTGAGCATCAGTTACAGCAGTTTCTACAGGAGCGGGAACTGCTAAGAGCACAGGTGGCAGAGGTAAGACTTTGCAGTGGGAGGGATGTGGAAGGAAGGTGATCCCAGGTGGCCAGGAGCAGGTGAGGACCAGTGACAGCACTTCCTAACTTCTGGGTCCATTCTTACAGGTGATGGAGTGTCTTAAGAAAGCTCAGCTAGAAAGAGACGCGTACGCTCAACAGCTCAAAACAGAGAGGGCGCGGTGGCAGCAGCAATTGCTGAAAATGGCAGGAGAAGTGAGAGCTGACCCTTCAGCCCCCCGCCTTAGATGGCTCACTGGATCTTCCTGGGCATCTGTAAAAAGAGAATAGCCCAGCCAGGGGTGGTCACGGGACTGGGCTTTGTGGAGCTGTGGGCTGAGAGGGAGATGGTAGCCTGTTCAGCCACCAGCCCCTCTCTCCAGGGCCCTTTCCCCCTGTGCTTTGGGCAGATTGAAATATTCAAAATGGAGAAAAGGCAGGATGCAATTAAAATCGATGAGCTGAAGGGGAGCCTTGCCCACCTACAAAACCATCTGGGTAAGATGGGGCTGGCGTGACCCGGGAGCAGGACTGGCATCAGAGGGCTGTGGGGGTGGCTTAGAGTGCCCCAGGGAGGTGGGTGGCTGGAAGGGCTTTGAGGCAGAGGGAAAGAGGTCTGTGCCAGGAGACGGCAAGTCTCGTAATCTCCATGAGCCTCAGTGTCTCCATCAGCAGAGGGAGGAATGCCCGTTGCCAGCCACCCACAGTGCTCTGTATGTGAAAGTGGCTTGGAAGACTGGCTACCATTTGGGGGCAAGGAATCATTAGCAGTGAGGCCAGGTTTGGGGAGCCTGAGAGGAGCTGTGCACCCAGAAGAGTTTTTTGTTTCGAGAATCCAGAGGTCCTTATTGTCTGCTTCCTTTCTCAGCTGAACCCCCAATCCCAAAGCACCCAGCAGGGCACTCTGACTTGGAGAAGAGCCTAAAGACTGAAACCAAGTACCTGAGAGAAGAGCTGCGGGAACAGCAGAGACTGCAGGAGGTGAAAATGCGGCTCCGGGAGCAGGAGGTGAGGCTGAGAGAACAGGAGGAGAGGCTTCTTGAGCAGGAGGGGCTCCAGGAGCAGTAGGAGTGTTGCCCACCTGGGGACCCTGCTCTCCTCCCCAGCCCTCCGGAACTCTGTTTTCCCACCTGTAAAATGGGGGAGCATATGAAATGAGGCTTCTAAAGGCACCTGTGAGCACAGCCCTGCTCTGATGGCTGTGGGAGAAAGGAGACAATTTGTCTAACCTGCCTCCACCCTTCCCGGTGCCATGGGAGGCGACACCAAGTTTTGGGGTCTCCAGCTGCAGTGGGTGGCCGCTGATTGCTTCTCTCTGTCCAGAAGAACCAGAACAGGAGCGCACTGCATTTGGAGCAGGAAGGAAAGGAGCTGCAGGAGAAGCTTGGCGAACAGGAGACGGTAACCCCTGCCCCATCCAGGAGGGCTGGGAGGCAGGCACCGGCCTCTGGGGAGGGGAGGTGCAAGGCCACAGGCAGCTCCACCCTGGGGGCAGGTGACCCCACACCCTCCAGGGCAGTCCTGTGACTGTTTCTTGCTTCCTGCGCTCTGACTTTTAGAAGCGGGTAGCCCTGGGCTCCTCCCAGGTCTGGACATCATCATCCCAGCTACAGGCATGGAGCCCCCCAGTCACAGGGCAAGAGACAGTGGTGTGAGGGGCTCTTTATACTGGGTATGGTGGCTCACACCTGTGATCCCAGCACCTTGGGAGGCTGAGGCAGGAGAATCACTTAAGATCAGGAGTTTGAGACCAGCCTGGCCAACATGGCAAAACCTCATCTCTACTAAAATTACAGCAACAACCACAAGAACAAAGCTGGGCATGGTGGTGCACACCAGTAATCCCAGCTACTCAGGGGGCTGAGGCATGAGCATCGCTTGAGCCTGGGAGCTGGAGGTTGTGGTGAGCTGAGTTTGCACCACGACTCTCCAGCCTGGGCCACAGAGTGACACTCTGTCTCAAAACAAAACAAATCAAAGCAAAACAAAATGAAAGTCTCCTTAGATCCAAACTGGATTCCGGCCTCGGTCCCACTGGTCACCATTCGACTACTTTGCATCCCTCAGTCTCTGTTTCTTTAACTTCCAAAGGAAATTAGCGTTTTCCTTGCGTGGGTGCTGAGGATTAAATGAGATGATGCGTGGAAAGCATTAGGCATGTAGCACACTTGGCAGATGGTGGTCGGCTCCCTCTGCTTTTTCACCAGTCTGTGGCCTACAGCTTAAATGGTGGAAGGAAGGACGTGAGATTTGAGGCTGGGGAAGGAGGCATGGGGTTCTAGGCAAGGGAGGCAGTCTCTCAGGCTGGAGCCAGGGGCCAGGTGCCTGGGCAGGCCACCTTCCCCTGTGGTCCCTCCCAGACCCCCTTACGCTCTTGGTTTCTCTGCCTTCTGATTACTCTGGACCCTCACCCCTTCTGGGAGCCAGTGTTCAGACACCATCGTGACTGAGAGGTGCACTATCTGAGGCCCCAAGGGAAGGCGCTGCGCTCCACTTCCCTGCCCCGTCTGTCCTGTGTATACCCCTACAAGAACGCTCCCCTCTTGCCTTCAGGTGCCATTTCTGAACGCTGCTGGAGCCGGTGTCCAGGAGGAGCAGGCACGGCTCTGTGAGCAGCTCCAGAAACAACAGGGGTGCAGCCAGCTCCAGGCTCACCTGGTGGCCTCGGCCCTGAGGGAGCCAGAGGCAGCGGCCGCAGCCACAGGGACTAGGAGCGACCGTGGGTGTGGGGAGACCCAGCGGGCCCTGCAGGGCGCCATCGACAAGCTGCAGGTGAGTGAGTCCTGGCAGGGGCCAAGAAGGGTGGGGGTGTGGCTGGTCGCTGCGGAGATGTGACCCCATTATTTTGGCTCCAGAATGAGTTCATGGCCGTCGTGAAGGAAAATGCGGACCTGAAGGAGCGGGTGGAAAAACTAGAACTCGGACTCATCCAGCTCTCTGGAGAGAGAGACATGATAAGTGAGCAGGAGGCCAGGGCAGGGCAGGGGAGCTGCAGGGTGGTGGGAGGGGCCCCAGTGTCTGAGCCTGTCCTCCCGCAGGAAAGTCCATCAAACCAAATGACCATCAGACAGCAGTGGCCAAGACCCAGCACCAGAAGAAGAATGATGTTAGCATGCTGTCCGAGGCCGAGGAGGGGATGAAGGTAAGGTGTACAACATCTCTGCGGGGGTGAGGGGGATGGGGGTGGGCGTGAGCGTGGGTGCCGGCACCGGCGTGGCATCTGAGCACCCCTATCTCCAGGTGAAGCTGCTGGAGCTGCAGGGCCCAGTGATGCAGCTTATGATCGACCACGAGGTCCAGCACCCTGCTAATGATTCCACTCCAGGGGCCCCAGCCCCCCAGGAGCTTGGTGCTGCTGACAAGGATGGTGAGTAGAGCCCTCAGGTGGGGTGGGCAGGCAGGAGCAGGGGAGGCTGGCA